TTCGTCCTGAAGAAGAATGTATTTTGAAGTAAGCCGAAAGGGCCAGCAGATGGTGTGGTGGTTAAGACACTGGACTCCCACATGGGCAACCACAGTTTGAGTCCTGGATCTGGCAGCTTGCTTTCTCACTTTTCGTCTCTCTTTCTCTTTCTCTGTCTCTCTCTCTGGTGAGTGCAGGTGTACTATGGTAAATTAAAATAATAATAATATTAATAAAATTAAATTTTACAAAATTAAAAAGTGAGTTAAAAAATTAACTAGAAAATAAAAGCCTCCGCAACTTTTTTTTTAAGTCTAAGATAAGATTTAAAAAAAAAAAAAAATTGCAAGCATCTTTGCAAACTCATTTATCCACATTTTTCCCAGCTAGAATTTGGCTGAAAGGCCATGACAGTGGAGATAAGAAATGGCTAGACTCCAAATCCACGTATATGCTCAAGTCATAAAGTCTCAAGAAACACAATAAGGAGCTGTCTCCTTTTGAAGTTAACTTCATAAACTGACCAATTTCCTTGGATTACTAAGGAAATTCTTGCCTCTGAAGATCTTACATATATCTATTGTGTGTGTGTATATATATATATAAACTATATATAATTGTGTGTGTATATATTGGGTCTTCAAAAAAGTTAGGATGTGTTTTTGTATGTTTGTCTAGGCAAAAATGGAACGAGACTTTTCTGACGACCCAATACAATCATATATTCACATGCACACATATATATAAACTAACCATAAATTTCTCAGAAATAAATACTTTAAGAAAATATGCTATTTTTCATGTATTAAGTATTAATCCATGAACTAATTTAGGAAATACCATTGCTATTTTTGTTAAATTCTTTTTTTATGGCCACTCATAGGAATAAACCTTTGGCAAACATCTTAAACAAAGAGCATCATGTCAACTTCTTTTTTTTTTTTTTTTTTTTTTTTGCAATAATGAGGGCATTATTTTGTATTTCTTCTGAAGTTTCAACATTCTGGCTCACACTGCATGATCTGCACAGACTCCAGAAACCACCTCTTTTTCAAAAAGAAAGCAGCAGGGTCTAGTAACAACCCACCCAAAAAATGCTTCTATGAAATATTAAAAAATAAGAATGATGGGGTCGGCAGGTGGCATGGTGGTTAAGGCACTGGATTCCCGCACAGCTGATGGCGGTTCAAGTCCCAGACCCAGCAGCTTGAATATAAGCCAGGCACATGTGTGTGCATCCCCAAAGTCCCAAGAGGAGAATGGAGAAGAAGGGATTGTGGTGTGACCATCCCCTCTGGGGGGTGATTTCTCATTTTCCCTCTCTCTGTCTCTTACCTGAGAGCACATGTGCCCTATGGCAAAAAAACTGTGTAAAAAAAAAAAAAAAGTAAAATGAGAATGCAAATACCCCCAAGCTCTCCCTGGTGATGTAGAAGCCCGTTAAACATTTTGCCTGGATAATTTCTTTAGTTCTAAAGCTTAGATGCAGAGAAAAGAAAGAAAGCCAATGTATCTCTGGGTAACATAACAATATCCATGTATTACAGCTTACAGTAAGTCTCTGCTAATTAAGATTATCCGTACAACCCATGCCACACATACAATACTGTTAATAAATTTTCATAAGAGACAAAGCAGGGGTAAAATGCCTGAGGTGCTTTATCTGGAATACTTACAAAAACAGGGAGAGTGAGACATCTCTGAGCAGGTACAGAGGAATAGCTCAGGCTGTCCTGTTGCATTACGTATTTGCAACAGATACGAAGATCCTTTTAAGTGTTTACTTTTGATTTGTGACACTGAATACAGAAAATACTTTTTTAAAAAGTGCTTCAAAAGTAGGCATCCATTGTATTTGGAAAAGAAATGTCAAACAAGTGCGGATCATACAATAATCTGATACGCATGCCTATCTGAATCTAAGGAACCTGTTCTTAATGGGCAACTGTTGTAGGAAGATTTAAAAAGAAAAAAAAAAAAAGAGGCTGACATTAGAGGATGACAAAGCAGCAGCTAAGGATGGTATTTCAGTGTTTACTGAAATTAAAAATGAATATCATTTTCCTAACTTTGTTCTCAATTTATCTTTTCTCCCTCTTTGAAATCACTTTCTTATCTAACTTTTCTTCTTTATTTTATTTTTTTGTTTTTGCCATAGGGCGCATGTGCTCTCCAGAGAGAAAGACTGAGACAAAGAGAGGGAAAGTGAAAAATCATCCCTCAGAGGGATGTCCACAACCCCTCCTCCTCCATTCTCCTCTTGGAATTTGAGCACACACACACACACACATCCGGTGTGATTTGTAAGCTGCCAGGTCCAGGACTCGAACTGCAGTTGCCCATGTAGAATCCAGCAGCTTAACCACCATGCCACCTGCTGCCCCCTCCAACTTCCATGAGCTTTTCTGAGTATTTGTTTCTGTCTATGCTCTTGAATACATTTTGTTATCTTTAATCTATCCCCTCCTTCCCTGAATAGACTATAATACAAAAGCATTAAGAAAAAATAAATATTAAATGTAATTGGATTTTTTCCTTTGGAAGTTTAAGGAAAAGTTACTCTTTACCCTCTATTTTCCAAACATACCAAAACAAATCAAAGAGAAGTGAAAATGGCAAAACAGCTACAGGAAGACAAGGTATGAATTCCTAGAACTAAACCAAGTGAACACAATGGGTTACTGTGTTGGAAGTAAAAACATTTAAAGACAAAAAAAAAAAAAAAAAAAAAAAAAAAAAAAAAAACAGAAAAAATGTCCAGCCTTTGCAAGGGGTGCTGGGAGCATTCCTTCCTGCGGACCTATAAGGGGGGCTCAGTGGTTACCCAGAAGCGTATCTGCTTTAAAGACAATAATTTTAGCAGAGTGACTGTAATGAGATTAAAGGGCACAGGAATGCTGGGTGTGAGGAGCGGATGTTTTGGAGAAAGGTAGTTTATTAACTAATGTACATTGCACAGTCAATAGATACTTCTTTTTTTTTTTTAAGAGAGATTTTTGCTATAGGGCATGTTTGCTCTCCAGACAGAGACAGAAAGCAAGAGATCACCCCCCAGGGGGGAGGCACACAGCAATCCCTTCTCCTCCACTCTCCTCTCAGGATTTTGGGCATGCACACACACGCACCAGCATAAGTTTTAAGCCGCCAGGTCCGGGACTCAAGAGCAGCCGACTATGTGGGAGTCCAGGGACATAACCATTACGCTATCTGCTGGTTGCAAAACTTCTACTTTTTAAAATTTTTAAATATCTTACAAAATGCAAGTTGAATTATGAAATAAAACAATGTGGCTTGCTTATTTGGCTCTGTTATAAATGTCTGGGTCGTGCTAAGCAGAAACACGGGGCTTTATAATCTCTCTGTTTATGAATTTCCAGCACAAGTAAATTCAGAATCGATTATAGTGATATTTGACAAAGAAATCAAGACCTAAAGTGGGAGAAAAAGTCTACATCCTTCTGCATAACAAATAATGGCACTTGCCTTTTTGATGAAACTGCTAGAGGATTTTATATTGAAAGACAGAAGAGAAGACCATACATGAGGTAACTATTACTTCTTTCATTTTCGCTGTACCAAGAGCAAAAAGAACAATCCAGATACTGAAGAACTAGGTTCCTGTCCCATGACATCGCTCACAGTCATCATCATAAAGTGAAAATTAAAATTCTTTTACCTACCGTTAATACAAAAATGAAAAAGGAAATTACCTTTCTATTATTATCTAATTAAGTTCAGGCTTATTCTTATTCTTTCTTGATAGAAAAATCCCAAAGTGTGATAAATTAGTTATCAGTAAATGAAAGAGCCAAAGAGAAAGTGCCAAAGTTCTCTGGTCCTGAAATGCTAAGCTACCTAGATATTTCTACCTTAGTAAAAGAGTTAACTAGTTAACTAAGAATTTCAGTGACAATGAGGTTTTTTTGTTTGTTCTTTTTAAGAGAGATTTTTGCTATAGAGTGAGTGTGCTCACTGGAGAGAGAGACAGACAGTGAGAAATCACCCCCACCCCCACCGGAGGATGGCCATCCCGCAATCCCTTCTCCTCCATTTGCCTCTGGGATTTTGGGCATGTGCGTACGTGTGCCCGGTGTGTTTTAAGCCGCCAGGTCTGGGGCTGGAATCGCAGTCGACTTTATGTGAGTCCAATGACGTAACCGTTACGCCATTTACTAGCCCCAACAATGGGTTTTAACAACAATGACAGAATTCGCTCTTTATTCTACTGTTATTTTTTAACCACCCCCTACTTTATTCTCTTTTAAAAAGAAAGACAGACAGGCAGAATGACTTAGGATACAAATGACTGAGGAATTCTCACTCACTCACTCACTCGTGTGTGTGGTTTGATACACACACTCTTACAGAAATAGTCTCAAGGCAACTCTATAAAGAATATATTTCCATTTTGTAGCAAAAGTAGATGGAATGTAAATAGCTATGCATTTTTCCCATGTAGGCTAACATTTGTGACACTCTAAAGTGCGAGCACAAAAATTTACTTTAACATAAGCTGTTTATCTAACACATTCTTCACCGACACAAGCACATGTTTGATGAACAGAGAAAAGACTAATAAAGAGTCTAAAGTATTGTAATTATACATTATTCACTAATATGTTAACCAGCCCATCATTCACCTTAAATCTACATTTCAGAAGTCTATTCTTCAATAACCACATGATTTAAAAAAAAAAAAACTGGAAGAGGAAAAGTCTAAACAGGAAGTGTTTGTTTTTACTTTTCCTCTGGTATGGCTATAAGTGACAATGAATGAAAACCCTTAAGTAGTTTATGTTTCCTAAACGCCTAGCCCACCGTCAACTCCGTGCTCAGCTTCACGACGCCGACCGCCTCTGTCAGGCATGTGTCCTGGCACTCAGACCGGTCCACTCCCAGAGCGTGTTTTACATTGCCTCCTGGCCCTCCCTTTTTTATATCTTCCACCATAGTCAGCCCCATGTCTTACACACAGTAGGCACTCAAAAATATCTGCTCCATTCTCTCCAAATGAACTTACCCTTCGAAATGACACAACATAAAATGTGTCTCCCCTTCTGCGGATGGCTTCAAAGAAGTCTTGGTAACTCCGGGGTGACGCGTAATACACCTGCAGCTCACTCCCTGAGTTCCT